GGAGGGCGGGTCTCGGCTGTCCCTCAACTTGAATTTGGCACGTGGGCTAGGGCGAAGACCTGCAAGAGAAGAAAGAGGAGTCGGAGTCTACAGTGAGGAACTCCCCATGGGCGACCGACGAAGAGGTGTCCGAGGCCCCGGAAGGCGCGGGCGGCGCGGGCAACAGCGATGTGGGGAGCTCGCTCCGCTCGCCTCCCCGCGCCCCAGGCCCTCGGCTGGGCGAGGACATGGAAGCGTATGTGCTGCGGCCAGCGCTGCGCGGTCGCACGGTGCAGTGTCGCATCAGCCGCGACAAGCGCGGGGTAGACAAGGGCATGTTCCCTTTCTACTATCTCTACCTGGAGGCGGCCGACGGCCGAAAGGTGCGGTCTGGCAGCCTCGGAAGCAAGTCCCACCTCCCAAGGGCAAGTCCCGCCCCTTTCTGAGCTAGGTCAAGACTTAGGCGAATCCAGGCCTTGTTCGTCATTGAACTAGGACTAGTCAGCTCCAGCGCCAAGTCCTGCCCTTCACAGCACTAGAATTCTTTCCTCTCAGAGCCCGATAGGCCCTCCCCATCCCATAATCCAGCCCTGTCCACTCTCGAGTTGGGCCCGCCTTTCTCAAGGCTAGGCCACGCCCTGTCGGGAGGTCCCAAGCCCCACCCCTTACAGACCCTCGTGAGGTACTGGCCTCATCTTTTTCGATCCAAGTCTGGTCCCTCAGTGAGCCTTCTGTGTTATCAGGCCCCACCCAATCCTGGGACAGGCCCCGCCTCTAAGGAGCCAAGCCCCTTGCTTCGTGGATTTTCCACCCCTAGCCAAGCGACTCCCCTCTCAGTCTGGCCATTCCTCTCTCAAGTGTGGCCGCTTCTCCTCAATTACTCATTCTCTCCCAGAAAGAGGCTTTTTCCCTACTCAGTGCCAGACCTGGTTTTTCCCCGATGAAACACGTACTGAAGTCCTGCTGCGATGTTCCAAGTGAGGCTCTTCCCTATTCTCCAAAGCCAGGCCCTGCCTGCCAGTCAGGCTCGCCCCTCCCTGGGCTCAGCCCCAACCCTGAACCCAATGGCCGAAGGAATAAGGGGCAGATATTAAGATATGAAATGGGGCTTCCCTGGTGGCGCAGTGGTTGAGAGTCCGCCTGCCGATGCAGGGTACACGGGTTCGTGCCCCGGTCCGGGAAGATCCCACATGCCGCTGAGCGGCTAGGCCCGTGAACCATGGCCGCTGAGCCTGCGCGTCCGGAGCCTGTGCTCCGCAACGGGAGAGGCCACAACAGTGAGAGGCCCGCGTACCGCAAAAAAAAAAAAAAAAAGATGTGAAATGAAGCTCCCCATTCAGGACCCAGCTGATGACTTCCTTCAGTGAGAACCGCATCTCCCAGCAAGCCTTGGGACGCTTATTGCTCCATTACCCTTTCCTCTGTCTTGAGGACATGGTGTTTCCTTGTCTTTGGACCCCTCGCCCTAGCCAAATACCAGAAATCGATTCTAATGGGCTGTTTCTCACATCCACAGCATTTCCTTCTGGCTGGGCGCAAGAGAAAAAGGAGCAAAACCTCTAATTACCTCGTCTCCCTGGACCCCACAGACCTATCTCGGGATGGGGAAAATTTTGTGGGCAAAGTCAGGTGGGCAGAGTCCTGATGTGTGTGATAAACAGGTGGCAGAGGGCCGTGGGTTGGGGGTGGGGGGGAAAGGGGACAATTGAACTACATTTCCCAGCGGGCTGTAGAGTACAAGTTCCACCTGCCCTACAATTTTTTCCTCTTGGGGACTGATGGGTTTTGTAGTTCTTCAAGTTGCAACCCCAGGGTGGTTGGGAATAGAACTGAAGGCTTTGGAGCAGAGGCTGGCATTTAAGACATTTGACTTCCTGAGAGACACGGGGCTGGCATTCCTAAGTTCCTGTGGGAGAAGAGGGCTGGGATATGTGAGTTCTTTTGTCTTGGAAAGGCGTTCCTAAAGGGCCAAGGCAGGAGGCTAAAATCATGGCTCACCAAAGAAAGAGAGGGGGCTGGGACTAGATACATGGAACATGGAACATGAGTCTTTTGTAGAGTATTGATCGGAAG